CCTGGGCCTGGCTGATGCGGACGGGCTGGGGGAAGAGGCTCCAGATCACGCTCTCTGAGCAGGGAGGGGTGGTCAGGGAGCCGTTGTAGCGGTAATAACGCTCCAGCTGCACCGGCAGCAGCTCCCGGATGCTGAATGTGGGGATGGCCACGCTCTGCCCTGTGGGGACAGACAGCATTTGGGGGTGCCAGAGGGGGATCTGAGGTGTCCCCCCGTGTCCCCACGCCACCCCTGCCTCTCCTCACCTGCGTAGCGGATGCTGCCGAGGTGCCTCAGGATGTTGTTGTAGGCGGGGTGGGGGTCATCGCCCACCTGGGGGGGATGGGGGGTCAGTGAGGGGTTTGGGGAGCCCGGGGGTGTGGGGTCTGTACCCCCAGGAGCAATGGGGTGAGGGGTTTGGGGAGCCCGGGGTTGGGGTCTGTACCCCCAGGAGTGATGGGGTGAGGGGTCAGTGAGGGGTTTGGGGAGCCGGGGGGTGTGGGGTCTGAACCTCCAGGAGTGATTGGGGGTCAGTGAGGGGTTTGGGGATCCAGGGGGGTGTGGGGTCCGTACCTCCAGGAGGACACCGAGCACCGCCAGCCCGCCCGGGTGCTGCTGCGCCGCGCCGGCATCGGGGAAACGCTCGGCATCGAAATGCACCACGTGCATCTGCGGCACAGCAGAGACCCCCTGAGCCCCCCAACCCAGGGACCCCCATCCCTGCCCCAGCTCCCATCCTGAGCCTCTCGCAGTGCCCGGAGCTGCCCCCCATTCCTGGACCTGCTCCCACTCCCCCTCCTGCACCCCATCCCCTTCCTGCACCCCATCCCATTCCTGGATCCATTTCCCTCACCAGGGCCCCTTTCCCATTCCCTGCAGCAAATTCCTGCAGTGCAAACCCATTTCCCACCCTGTTCCCGTGCTGTTTCCCACACTGACACCCCTTCCCACAACCATTTCCCACAACCATTTCCCACAACCATTTCCCACAACCATTTCCCACACATTCCCGTGCCGTTTCCTGGCCCCGGGCCCGTTCCCATGCTCCGTTCCTCAGCCGTTTGCTGCCCCCAGACCCATTTGGTACCTCAGCGGGGGCGCGGTGCCCGTCCAGCAGGTGCTCAGCGCCCGCAGCCCGGCCCGGCCGGCCCCAGTGGAAATGGAGCTGAACCGCAGTGAAGGGGTGGGACAGACCCCGGAGCCGCAGGG